AAGTGCCGCCCGGTTCCCGTCCTCGTTACAGAGGACGAGGAGGCATATTACGAGAGGGAACGAAGGTTGATTCGACGAATGAGGGAAAGTGCTTTAGCAAGGCCATGTCGTATCAACGAAGGGAACGAAAAAGAATTGATCATAGGGGAGTCTGATTTCCTACTGCCCCAGGAGCGAACGTTGATGGTGGAATTAATGAAGAGGAAGCATCGCGCTTACGCGCTTAGTGACGAAGAGCGTGGCAGGCTCGATGTAGACAAGATACCTATGATCCGCATACACACCGTGCCACACGAGCCTTGGAACATGAGAGGGGCGCGATATCCCAATCCTGACGAGGAAAGGAAGGTGGTGGATTATCTCGACGGCAAGATAAGTACTCACGTCGCTGACTATTCAAGTGGACCGTATGCATCCCCGTGGTTCTGCTTTATTAAGCCTAACGGGACGCTGCGGTGGGTGCAGGATTTGCAAAGATTGAATGCAGTGACCGTCCGAGATGCTGGAGGGCTGCCAAATGCAGACGCGTTGTCGGAATCCTGTGCTGGAAGGCCTATAATTTCGCTTACAGACCTTTACTCAGGATACGATCAGTTCCCAGTCTACCCGCCGGATAGGCCGGTGACGGCTATGCATACGCCGCGAGGATTAATCCACATGAACGTGGCCCTCAAGGGTGGACCAATGCGGTAGCAATGGTCCAACGGGCCATGATTCGGGCTATGCAGTCAGTCATCCCCCATATCACACAGCCATACATTGATGATTTGGCAGTGAAGGGGCCGGCGGTGAAAGAGAGCGACGAAGTCTCACCGGGGGTAAGACGCTTTGTCTGTAAACACATCCAGGACCTCGAAAAGGTCCTGAGCCTGCTCGAAGAGCATAACCTCACGGCAAGCGGGGCCAAATCCAGACACTGCATGAGGGAAGCGACTATCTTGGGGATCGTCTGCAATGAGAAGGGCCGAAGTCCGGATGTGAAGAAGACGGACAAGATTATTGAGTGGCCAGTTCCGTTCCACTCAATAACTGATGTCAGGAGCTTCCTTGRTACGTGTGGATTTTGGAGGGCCTTCGTCAAGAACTTTGCCGCTAAGACTGAACACCTGAGGAAGTTAGTCCGTCAGGATCAAAAATGGGTATGGGGTGAAGAGCAAGAAGAGGTGGTGGCAAAAATGAAGGAGGAATTTCGAGAAGGAGGGTTGGTGTTAGGAGCGCCAGATTATGACGCCACAGAGACGCGACCCTTCATTGTCGAAACGGATGCGGGACCGACTGCCTTAGGGGGAGTTCTAATTCAGGCAGACATGGAAGGAAAGGAAAGACCCTTGCGATTTGAGAGTCGGACTCTCTGTACAACGGAAAGGAACTACTCTCAGTTCAAGAGGGAGACCCTAACTACCACGCCCATACTACATCAAATTTGAACCAGGGTGCCTGGTTCAGCACCACGGGAAGGCCGTGATTGCAGCTGGGGCAAAAAATGGTCATGATGGCCCTCCCTTTGGCCTCAGCTGGATCATCATAGCCGCCCTACAGAGTCAGCACCCCCACGTTGGATCCTTCTGATCCTGGGGGTGTGGTTCAGTGTCAGGAAAAGACACTACCACATGGGGAATGAGCTAAGGGAAATAATGATGTGAATCCCGCCATTGAGATCAATGGATCTCGTGGCCAGGAGTCCATCAGAGAAAAGAGAGGCATGGACTAAATGAAAGACTAAGTCCAGCCTTCTCTCGACGTACCTGCACTGAGAAAAATAGTTAGGTACGTCAAACCTTAAAAATTCATAACTCCTAGAATAATGGTCAGAAAAATACAAGAAAAGTTGTTTCAGAAATGAGACAACGTCAGCCATCTCGTGAAAATTATGAGATGCCTGATTGAACTAACCCTGAATAGATAAAAATGAGAGAAGGGGGAATAGTCAAAGTCAGTCTCCCTAAGTGTGTGGCTGCGGTGCGACAACGTCACACTGTCGATCTCGCAAAAATCGAGGGCCCAGGGACATCTCGAATTATTGTCTAAGGGCTAGAGTGTCGAGGCACTCTCTCCAACTCGACTATAAAAGCAGGCAGGGCCCCAGGAGTTGCCACACAAGGAGCACGTGTTGTTGGAGTGGTCGCACACTCTAAGGCATTTGTGAGTTGCGGGAGTGCTACATGAGTGTTGTTGGGTGTCTACTAGAGGAGCTGTTAGATCAAGGAGGAGGAGGCTGAACCACCATAGCCATAAGGTGGAAACACATTGTCGTCGTCACTTTAGGTTGGTACCGGACTAGCAGCACATGAGCTAGGGTCCACTCCATTGGAATGGGACCTCATTTCTATGCTCGAGGGAGCGGCATTTTGGACGTAGTTTCGGCCAAAGACCGGGTTTTATTATTTTTTAGCTTGGACGTGGTCGACGTGAGGGTGCACCCTATCAAAGTGATCAAGCGGCAAGGCTACGTCCTCATGCTGAGGAGTGTTACTAGCCTTGTAGTACGTGGGCGTTGAGATAATTTTGTGGAGGTGTCGTGAGACTGCAGTTGGGCCTGGTTTTGGCACCAAGGCGGTGCCTCTTATTATTGGAGTGAGGATCTCGGTTTGCGGGGCGGCAAGTGGCGGTGCCGCTCACCCACTTGTTGGCGGCTCGAAGCGGTAGCATCTTTTTTTTTTTGTGGCGTTCCAAGTGTGCCGTCGCGGTTCAAAGGAGGTGCGGAGTGCGACACGTGCTCAAGACGGACACCGGTGCAAACTTATGGCACTACAGCCTAAGGGATTATTTTGCGGTGAAGGCGGCGCAAGTCTTGACGTCTTGGCCTGGTGAGACCCTTGGTACTGGTCCACGACACCATTGGGACCATTTGGGACTGCGCCGCATCGACGTTTTAATTGTTGGACCATTAGCACCAATTGAAGTCACTCGACGACGGTATATTTATTTCGGAGTGCGTCGGCGACCGCCATCACATTGGGCTTGGCGGGACCAATTTGGAATCGGAGGTGTCGCTCATCACTTGTGGAACTTGCCGAGGGAAGTAAGGACCGCTCGATAATTATTGAGGTTCGCGACACTCGTGATCTCTACTCGGGACATTTTGGGAGCTCGATTGACATTCAAGGTTCAACTTGGCTTTCTTGGGTGAGCCAGTCGATATCAGCGACACTTCACTCAAGGTCAGTTAATAACTCAGACCCCTCACTCCCCGCGTGAACCCACACCGTGCTTGCCCCATTTTTCTTTCTTTTAATGTTCAGTTGAAAGGGAAAGGCTTGTTCGTGTGTGTCCAAACGTGAAAAGGGATGTATTGTCTGATCTCGTATTTCCTTGTCTACCGTCGGAAACTGCCTTGGCTCGATATTTTGTTGCAGGTGTGTGAGCGAAAGTTTTGTATGTCCAACGAAGATTAGGGTCTTGCGGGTGTGACGCTTCGCCTATGGAAAATTTAAATGCTCTTTGTTTTGGTTGCAAGATCTTTGGTCGATTGCGGGTCACGAGTGAGAAATCTTGTCATTAATTTGTCTTTCTTCTTTTGGTTAGACGGTCTCCGCACTAGGAATTCAACGGTATGGGCCGTTCGTTATATTACTGTAAGGCGACCCTCATCTATTACCCACGATAAAAGTTGTTAGACGTGGTGAAACGGGCCGGCAAAAACTCTTTTATTTTTACCCCCCTTTCTTCGACTATCTAGTGCATAAGAAACAGTTTCGACAAGCATGCACCGGACTGCATCGCCTGGCTCGAGCAGGCACCACGGGAGGATGGGGGGTCTCAGGATCAAATTTCTAGTTTTTGTAGGCATCATGGAACCAAGCAGCGATAGAATTTGCCCCACTATTAGCCCTGCGCACACTTGACGTCGTTCTATTTATAGCCTAACATTTCGTACATTCCATTTCATTCCTAGGTTCTTACGTCGTCGGTTTATTGTAAGACGATAGCAAGAGTTAGTTCGTCGTGGCTTCCACCACTCATTGCGCCAAACCTCGGCTAAAGAAGCGAGTCGACCAATCGGAAGGATGGAGGCGCGGGTAACAGACAACTCAGGTGCTGCGAGCAATGCTGCCTCGAGCAGTTTGCAACGGAGAAGCGTGGCAGTTGCCACCATCATGTTGTTTCCAACCAAGATGGAGGCGAGGGCGTCTGTTGCTGTTGCCGCAGGAGGATTCAGACAAGGATGGGCGAGAGTCGGCCGCATGGTCTACCATCCGGCAGATGTTTACCCGACCGAGGTCGAACTCAGGGAGGACCAAGGAACCCTTGAGGACCCGCCGCGAGTTTACTCGTTCGTGACTACGACCATGAAGCTGGTACTGAGCATCAGTTTCTTCCCTCTCAGAAAGATGCACTGGAGGGATATAGGGGTCATCGACGACGTCAAGGACGAGACAATCTATTACAAGTTCGAGGATGAGATCATGTGGTTGTCCCTGCGCATTACGCGGAACCACCACGCTCGGCAGGGGCCATTTGTGTACATTCAACACTATGACCGCGTAGGTGCATTTGATGTCGGTATCCGTGTCTCGGAGAGATGTGATGATGAGGTCCTCTAGCGACAGGAGGAAAGTTTGTTAAGACTCTTTCGCATTTAATGACAACTCTTTGGTGGCGCGACGGATGGCGAAGCTCCACAGTGCAAGGTCTACGACTACGATGATGAGGACGAATGCGAGGTTGGCAATCAACGAGGCGCTCATCATGCGGCGTGTTCGGCTGGACAGACGTGCCCAGGCTACTCACACGCTTTACAGCCGCTAGGCGTCACCTTCCTCTATAAGTCCCTCTTGATTGGACCGCTAGGAAATTGGTAGCTAGCTAAGCCCCTTGGACCGGATCATCAGGCTTCGATTTTGAGGGCATGAAACATAATAAATCTCGATCACCTTAGTGGTGCCGACCAAGAAAACATGGTCAGTCTGCCCCTATGACTAACAATTCCCTCAATGATTTTCGCTGGTGTCATGATGAGGGACGACGGCGACACAAAGGTTTTACCATTTCTTTTGTATATACTTAGTTGGCATGCATTCGTAGTTAGGCAATGACTTCTACATTAGGAAGGACGTAAGTAGTATGGAGGGAAGGAAGTCATGAAAAATTATAGAGATAAACACGGACACGTTGTCATGGCATGATGTTGTTTTGAAATTCGATTAAGCAAGCTGTGAGTGTCGATGGTGACTTTCTTACCAATCTTGCGTGCACCAATTGTGGGACGCTTTCAAAAACTTTCTATTCAGTTTTGTGTAAGGGTGAGCGTAAAGGAATATTTCTTGTTGTCAAATTTTGTAGTCCTTGCAAAGGATTGTCGTTTGGTCACTAAGACGAGTCGCCAGTTATGTATTGCATCAGTGAGCTTTGTTCACGACATTTACCAGTATCCTGGTTGTCAAATTCATGTGTTCGTTGGCGGCATCTATGTGTATTTTTCTCGCTACATTCATGTGCTTGGTTGCGACTTCTGCTTCTTTTAATGCGATATTTGTGTTTGGTTGCAATTTCAGTGTCTTCCCTTCGAAAGGAAAATGCCTTTATAAAAAATAATTAAAAAAAAAAACAAAAAAAAACAGCTAGACTGTGATTGACCCGACGAAGCCTAGCCGACCGACGCAGTCCGCAGAAAATCAGCCACCTAAGGAACGAGCGGCTTCGTTGGGATCGATCTATATTCATCTGTAAGAGTTGTCTGTACTACCACGAACGAGCAAAACGCCCTTGGCTAGTCTACCTCTGCAATTGCATATAAAACTTTCATATGTAGATCAGTAGTTCGGTAGGGATACGCCTCTGAGGATGGTGACAGCTCCTTAGGGAAGACGAGTTTTGCCTCATGGGACCTTGACCTGACGTAGGGGAACGCGAGAAGTACGACTGGCACACCCGGCTAGAGCGGCAAACCCCACCATTCACCTTGATGAATCTCGGGGGAAACGTTCCGACTCTAAAAGAAAAATATCAGACTCCTGCGCGATGCGGCCGGGAGGTCCCCTTTATGCGCCACTACGCGAGGGGGCCGTTGCGTCAGACAACGTACCGGATGGGTGTGGACGTGTTCTTGTGTCAGGTCCTGTTACTTCATAGTTTTTATTGTGGGTTTGTTTCTACGCGACTTTCTAGTGACCCACGATTGTGGTTTGTCGAAGTTATGCGGACTCTCTTTGTTCAAGGTGTCTGTATATAAGTCCGACGACCTATGTTTACTGTACCGACTTGAAGACCCCTTACGATTCTAGTTGGCAGCAAGTGAAACTAGTAGGGTCATCCGCCATGTCCGAGCTTCTAGTTTAATTTTCAATCAAGTCGTGTTTGGGACATGAGTCGTCGTGGTTTTCCTTCTTCTTCTTTCCTCCTTCCTCTTCCTCTTTCCTTCTACTCCTTCTCCTTGTCCATCTGTTGGGTCTACTTTGTTATCTCTCTCGCGTGGATTTCATTTCAGTTACCGTCATTTGAGACTGGTATATGCTTATGCAATACACTTGATTTCACGGAGTAACCGACGTACAAATTAGACTACGGTTGTGTGGCTTCGACTCCTATCTACGATGGCGTCTAAGTCGAACATAAACGATATGCGGGATTGCTATAATTGTGGGGAACGAGGTCATATATCCAGATTTTGTCCATATCCTGATCGTCGTCTAAACGGCAACCGGCCTTCGGTGAGTGCGGCTAAACTACCTGTCCAGGCTCCGTTACTAATTGTACCCTCTAATCCTACGGACCAGTCTAATGTAGGTACTGCGGTCCCTTCCTTCAACGGCTGTTCCAATGGAGGTGGCTACTTGGGAAGGAGGGTTTCCTCTCTCGAAGACATTGTGGGGAAGATCAAGGTCAAACATGATGCTGATGAGGCGAGAGAACGGGCGTCCCGTGGAGATGAAGAACGAAAGAAGCGCGAGCGTGGGGGAGGAAGAGAGACGATTGTGGGATAAGAAGAAGCGAGAGGAGTTCCAGGTACAAATGAATAAAGAGGTGTCCGTGAAGCTTGATCGTGTGTATGAGGTTATCAACGGGAAGAAGAGTGTGGAAAATGACAAAGTAGCCAAGTTGAAGGCGCGTATCGATGAGCTTCAAAAGTGGTCTGCTGTCGCTAGTACTTCGTCTGATGCTGCGAGGCCTTCGTCCGATGTTGAGGAGGTAGCTCGTCTTCGAAGTGAGCAGTTTGAGCTCAAGAAGGCTACGGATAAACGCCTTGCCGCTATGGAGGAGGTTATCCACGCCCTACAAAGGCAGTGCGAAGAGGCAAAGGCGAATGCCAAAACCTGGAAGGCGAAGGCGTTACGTCCAGGGAACAAGAGTGGGGTGGTGGTGATTGGCCCCACTCCAGCAACGCAAACATGAGTTAGACCTCGGCTGACACCCGCTGCGACCCCATATACGGTAGGAAGGGTTGACGGATGTCTGAAGGGGGTTGTAGAACGCCATCAGAAGGAGGTTGAAATCTTGAAAAAGATGCGGCTAAGGGAAGTGAACGCTTGGAAGGAGAGTGAATTGTAGGTTGAACGTCTAAAGGAGGAGATGGCGCGCTGGGAAATGGAGAATCGTGTGAAGGAGTGCAACAATTTGAAGGCTAGGCTTGATGATGCCGCAGGACCTTCGGCAAGGAAGGCGAAGAAAGGTGATAACACAGATCCTGGGCAGTCGATGGAGAAGGATGTTGACCTTAATTCTAAGGATGCCTTTCTTCGGGCAACACGGAATGAACTTCGTGCGAAGAAGAAGGAAGAGGTGATTTTTATCTGCGAGAAAGAGGGTGTCTCGTACACCACGCTGGATCCCACCAAGGAAGCCATAGCTCTGAAACGAGCGTCGAGCCTTTGACGACAGAGGGGTTGGTTTACGTGAAGGGAATGATGTTTCGACCCATGTAGTCTCCGATGACGAGAAGGACTCCGAAGATGATGGGCGTGATTCCGCTGTTTTCTAGGATCATGCCCGAACGCGACCTTTTTGTGGGAAGTAGTACGTCTGTGTTGTTCACGCCGTTCTATGTCTACTGAGTTGCTGAGATGTATGCATTTGAACGCCCTCTTTTGTGCTGCGGTGTGTGGGTTGGTTTTGGCTGATCAGATTCCCTAGGGATCTAAGTTTATTAAACTCTTTTTGCGCTCCTTGTCTCAATGTGACTATGACGACGAAGATTGGAATGGTCCTGTTGTCTATGTTCTCTTCTCTCCGTGGACACTCCATCTCTATGTTGGGAGTACTGAACGGAATCTGAACACCTGGTGGAGGCTTGTAAATCGGTGTTGATCGACGGAGGTCGGAGGAATGAGATTCTGTATCGATGGCTTCATAGGTGTGGTTGTCATACCTATGTGTGTATTCCCCTCTGTAAGTGTTCCCTCGGTGATCTGTTAGTTACTGAGAGTTTTTTCATCCGATTGTTATCATCTGCACTTAACTGTAGGGATAAACCGCATCATTCATGGAGATGTCCACCGGGGCGGAGGGAAAGGCTGAGGGGGAAAAAGAGAAGTGTTGTGTGTGTTGATCGTGCTGCTGTGACTTCCCTGGTGCCCTTCATTGCTCTTTTGTGAACTTTTTGGCTCCGGATGGCATGGTGGGTAAGAGTCTGCTCTCTATCCTCAACGCTTATGTCTCTAGATCAGAGGTTAAGACTGTGGTCAAATGTTCGGGAGGGGATTTTCTTCTTGATCGTTGGAAAGTCTTGAAACGTCTCTATGGCGGAAGTATTGTGTCCAATGCGTACGGCAGGATTGAACTTCGTCATGCGAGGGGATTGATTCATGAGGGGAATGATTCTGGTCTTTGAAACTATTGTCCCCTTCCTTAGTCGTTCTCTGGCTCTGAAGGTTCCTCTAGAGGGTTTTCTGCGTGATCCAAGCAACAGGAGTGTGTTGAAGAAATGGAGTTGTGAGGATTTGGTCGTTGCTAACATGGCAGTTCGAACGTTCAATGAAAAACATACCAGATTTCGTTTGAGATGTCTTCTCTCACGTTGTGTCTTTAAGCGGTTGGGTATCCGTGTTCGGAACCGGATTGTTATTCGCATCATTTTTTTATAATCGGTTGAGTAAAACCAAGATTCGGCAACTTTTTGCGAAAGTCGTTGATCAGATGGACGTAGGTCCAGAGTGGAAGCGCGTGCTGATCCGTCGTATGAGAACTGTGTGGTATAGGAACAAGAGCGTTGGCGTTTATCTCCATAACTTTCGCCGCTTCGCCAAAATTGAACATGCGACTTGTAACTTTGCTAAGTGTGACTTCTCACTTCCATGGATTGATGGTCATGTGTCTCTCCGCACGAATGACTTGGGCTTTCTTCCTGGTTGGCTAAAAAAACTCTAAGAATTTCTTGCGTCCTTCGACTATATGTTCTATTGGATCTGTACGGTCCCAGATTCTTTCAGGTTTCGCGGCCCATCCCTGTTTGCCTACTGTTGACTCTCTTTCCCTGCCAGATATGGGTGTTCGGGGTTGTTTTGTCAACATTGACTCTGCTCAAATCTCCAGTTCTATCTCTGAGGATGATCTCTATTCTGTTCGGGCGTTATTATATAATCTTATTTGTTGTCCAATTGATCACAACACGGGAGACACTTTTGTGTACTGCCCAGTTATCTATGAGTCCGACATGAGTTAGTTGTTCTGTGATAATCTGACATTTGAACACTGTGTGGCGGACGAACGTGTTGTGTTGGATGAATGTGGGAGAAAGTACTTCAAGATGGGATTACAGTCTGTTGGGAAGTGGAAAAAGGAGGGAAGCAAAGGGAATGCCTACTGCATACCAAAACACAAGGATATGGCTCGATGGAGGCCTATATGCCCTTCCTACTCGGAGTGCTCGGCATTTGGGGGTCGGATCGTGTCTCGGGTGGTAAATGTTTTACTTTGGAATCTGCCTCAGAACACTAATCTTAATTTGCGAAGTGCCGATGGGTTGCTTGCCCGTCTAGCGAAGGTTTATCTTGGTTTGAAGGAAGGCGGTGAGGTGGTAGGGGCTTCGTTTGATGTCAAAAAGATGTTCTCTAATCTCCCCCATTGCTCGATCTTGCGTGCCCTGATGTGGGTTATTGATTATTGGAGGGGCAAGGGTGTACACTCTGTTGGTGTGAGGAAACAGGGTTAACGTGCTAAGTTTGTTCGAGGAAAAACGGATATCGGATGGAAGGGGATTGCGCTGGGATCAATATTTGATTTTGTTCGATTTGAGTTGGACTGCACCTACATCTTAGCTGGAGGACGTGTCTTACGCCACACAGTTGGCATTCCTATGGGCAAATCGTCCAGCCCCACTTGTCTCTTATGTGCTTATAATGAGTTCGTGCTTTTTTCTGGTCTTGGGGTTGATCGCAGGTTCTTTCATGGATTTCGGCTAAGTCGATGACGTTTCAGTGTTTGTCATTATTAAGAAGGGTGGGTGCTTGAGTCACGAGGTGGGGGAATGTCTAATTGAAAGGTTTAGTCGCTATTACGATGACAATTTGGTGTTGGAACGAACGAGTGATGGGAGGGATTGAGGGTTTCTTGGATGTGTTTTGAGGATCTGCTCTGGCAAAGCCGGTGTGGTTTGCCATCCGACCATCAAGAACCAGGTAGGAGATATTAACGGAAGAGCTACCTTTCAAAGTATTCAGGACTTCTTTTCTTTTTCGTACAAACAGCAGAAACTACGTGTCATAGGTTCCTTTGTGCATAGAGCTAAGGTAATATCCTTCAGCTGATGGGCTGGCTTTCCCTGATTTGTGGAAGAGGGGCTATCCGGATGACTTCTTTGACGACGCATTGACCAACTTTTCAAGGAAGTACGCGAGACTGTGAGGTGAATGGATACTGCTACTGGTTAATTGGGGCCTCTTTCTTGGTGAGAAGTCGGGTTCTGGGGTGCTTTCGTGATCGGAGGCGTGTCGATTTTTCTTGCAAATGATGTAAGTACTTTGTTTGCTACGTTTTTTTCGGTAAGACAGGGTGTATAATGAGTAGTATCTATTTTTGGCATTTGGTATCGTTGACGAATGGGGCTTTGCGATACGTGATAAGTTGAGATGACAGGGGATATAATGAGTAGTACCAGTTCTTGGTGTTTGGTGTCGTTGACGAATGGGGTCTTGCAAGACAAGATACGTTAACCGCTTTGGTTTTGAACTGTGGCCTGTTCCTGTGTTGTATCATGTTAGGCTGTTCCGAACTCAGGTACTGTCTTAGACTAGGTTCTTCTGAACTCGGCCTCTTGTTTGGGCTCTTGGTTTTGACGAGATATGTGGGTCTGTTCTCGTGCTGTATCTCAATAAGCTGTTCTGAACATAGGCACTGTTTTAGACTAGCTTCTTTTGAACTTGGGCTCTTGGGATTGACGAGATGAGTGAACCGGTTTTCGGTGTTGGGGGGCTTGCGGGTTTTGAACTGTGCTCCTTTCGGCGTTGCTGTTCATAGTTGCATAGCGGATGGGTGTGGGCGCGTTCTTGAGTCAGGTCCTGTTACTTCGTAGTTTTTCTTGTACGTTTGTTTCTACGGGGCTTTCTAGTGACCCTCGATTGTGGTTTGTCGAAATTATGTGGACTCTCTTTGTTCTAGGTGTCAATATATAAGTATGACGAACTATGTTTACTGTACCAACTTTAAGGCCCCTGACGATCCTGGTTGACGGCAGGTGAAACTAGTACGGTTATCCGCCATGTCCGAGCTTCAAGTTTAATTTTTAATTAAGTCGTGTTCGGGACATACGTCGTCGTCGTTTTCCTTCTTCCTCTTTTCTCCTTCCTCTTCCTCTTTCCTTCTACTCCTCCTTGTCCGTTTGTTGGGTCTACTTTGTTATCTCTCTCGCGTGGATTTCATTTCGGTTACCGCCATCTGAGACTGGTATATGCTTATGCAATACACTAGCTGAGTTGGTATACCCCTGAACTGTTGAAATACAGACTCAAGTTCGGATCCAGATGCCCTCAGATGTAGAGAATAAAATCATTATGAATTGCATGGGGCCGATCAGTTCAATGATGATATCTCAAGGCCGTCACCCTTTTAAAAAAAAAAAAAAAAAAAAATNCACCCTTTTAAAAAAAAAAAAAAAAAAAAAATCTTTACAATGTAAAAAAAAAAAAAAAAAAAAAAAACTATTTTATTTATTTCATTTTTTTGTTTTTTTGCCCCGGTCGGGTGAGTGGTCCCGGGCCACTCCAGTAGCCTAGGGCATGGTCCCACAAGCAAAGAGCACCGCATTGAATGCCTGAATGTAGACGTCTTTGTGGACAGAAGCAGGAAATGAAGATCCAAATGCTTTTCTGTAACTATGCATAAACACAGCCAGATTTAGGAGCTTTATCCTATTCCCTTTGCTAGTGGGACCATGGCCCTAAAGTACAGAATAAATTGGTGCAATAAAATATAAAAAAGCGTCGAACTCATACAGCAAGCTTGTTGCTTATAAAATAAATGAAAACCATAAAAACAGAATTAAAAACCCACACAAACACGGGGTTGAACTCGAATGGCTACGTGCATG